AAAGCAAACGTGTGCTCTTTCAGTGTACCTCCTTTTCAATGACTGTAGCTAGCCAGTTTTCTGCAGAGAATCTGCATCTTGGACTGGGATGGATGGAGGGATGGATGGATGGATTTAAATTTATATTTTATTTATTTTTGGCTGCATTGGGTCTTCATTGCTGCACGTGGGCTTTCTCTCATTGCGGCGAGCAGGGACTACTGTTCGTTGCCGTGCGTGGTCTTCTCACTGCCGTGGCTTCTCTTATTGCGAAGCACAGGCTCTAGGCACATGGGCTTCAGTAGTTGTGGCACACAGACTCAGTAGTTGTGCCTCGCGGGCTCTAGAATGCAGGCTCAGTAGTGGCACACGGGCTTAGTTGCTCTGCAGCATGTGGGATCTTCCTGGGCCAGGGCTCGAACCCACATCCCCTGCATTGGCAGGTGGATTCTTAACCACTGTGCCACCAGGGAAGCCCTGGGGTTTTATTTTTAAATCCTCGGCTTACATAACCCTGACTTACTTGAAATGGTCATAGATTTTTTTCAAACAATAAGATTCCTTCCAGTTCAAAAAGTTACTGCTGACTGATTTAAAAGCTTCTCCCTACATCATATAGATGCAGGTGGAGAAAACGCCACCCTTTTTAGGAACAGGGAACTTGAAGTAGAGAGGGTGTTTATTTTGTTTTTTTAGTGAAAATGATTTCATTTTAGCTCTCCCTTTTCTTTTGAAAAATGCCTTGTGATGAGAAAGATAAAACATATTCCTCCAAATGAAAACAAGATTAAGGCAGTTTTACTCAAATCTTTATAAAATGGGGAAGTAACATTTTTCCTTTGGAAAACTTGCCCCTCCTCACAAACTTAGTATTTCCTTAGAATGTGAAAATCTGCGTGATAGTACAGGACACTGATGTATTTTCCTGCCCTTTCTTGTGGGTTCCTACAGAGACATCAAAGACACTACAGTGGGCACTCTTTCCCAGCGGATCACAAACCAGGTCCATGGTTTGAAGGGACTCAATTCCAAGCTTCTGGATATCAGGAGCTACCTGGAGAAAGTGGCCACAGGCAAGCTGCCCATCAACCATCAGATCATCTACCAGCTGCAGGACGTCTTCAACCTGCTGCCAGATGTCAGCCTGCAGGAGTTTGTCAAGGCCTTTTACCTGAAGACCAATGACCAGATGGTGGTGGTGTATTTGGCCTCGCTGATCCGTTCCGTGGTCGCCTTGCACAACCTCATCAACAACAAGATCGCCAACCGGGATGCAGAGAAGAAAGAAGGGCAGGAAAAAGAAGACAGCAAAAAGGATAGAAAAGATGACAAAGAGAAAGATAAGGAAAAGAGTGATGTAAAGAAAGAAGAGAAAAAGGAGAAAAAATAAAACATGTAGCTTTTTAATTTGTAAATTAAAATCTTACAAACTAACTCATTGTGCCGCCAGAGGGTTCTTTTCACCGTAAGTGCAAAAGCTGTACTGATGAGAGCTCTCTGGATGGAGGGACTAATCTTGTACCTGAACTGCAGCTTAGGCTGCTCTGAGTTGGGAATGTGATAGCTCAGGCTTCAGACTGTGTGAGAAAAGTGAAGAGACACAAACGTAACATTTTTGGTACTCTTCCTGCTTTTATCTATAAGACCAGGAGTTGAATTTTCCCCATCTCAAGAGACTCTTGGGGTCTGTTTCTGGCAGTCTGCAAAATTGCAGAATGGAATGCACGAATTCCATAAGTATTCTGCCTCAGAACACCTTGAGGTCTGCCCCTCTGGACTCTGTTGAGAATACCACCCCACGGGACTTCTTGGACCCGTAGCTCTGGCATTCTCGGGGCTTGGGATCCATCTCAAGATATTGTTTACCTTCGAAGACACAATTAAATGGCTTGGTTTTTAAGTCTGTGTTCTGGTCGTTTTTGACTCTGGGTGTGGTGATCCGTTGTTTTCAGAAGCAACCAAGACAGTCTTTAATTGAAGCTGCCTTAAAGAATTATTTTAGACTGAATCTTTTATGAAAGCACCTCATTCCTTTAAAGACATACAGCTGTAGGGAGGAGAGCTCTCAACTGAGCCCAGAATACCTGTGTCCTAGTTAATGCCTCAGATTCCTCATCTGTGAAGTCCCTAGAACAGTTTTTTATAAGAGACACATTCACTTAGTATTGCAGTAGGTCTAAGTACATCAGGCCACAAGGTTAGTGGGGATGGAACAAAGTCTCCCCAAAGTAAGTGTTCAAGATACTTAATCATTTGACTTACAGCTGTCACTTGGATATTAATTTCCTATCTTAAGCGATTAGAACCTCCCTAAGAGTTCTCTAATGCACCATATGGACTGTCAATGTTCAGATATTTAAGAATATAATAGCACTAGAACTAAGTCAGTGGAATCTCATAAACCACTTCATAATGTTATAATGCCTTAAAGTTACTGGAAGCAACCATTTTTAATCCACAGACCTGCCTGCCAAAGAACTAGTTGAAATTTGGGGGCTGATGTAGAGCTAGCTTTTATCCTACATAGATAGGAGTACCCACATCAGTGGTCTCTTCAAGGTTCATTAAGATTCTGAGAAAAAAAATAGTAAAGGGAAAAAAACTAGAGAACCAAGTTTTGTCTACTGCAGCAATCAAAAGTCAGATGGTTGTTACATCTAACCGAATAAAAAATACGAAATACATAGTTCAAAGCTTGAGATGCATTTAAAATGACAGGAGTGTGTTGAAGTTTTTCAGATTTGGTTGCCATGTTTAGAACAGACTGAGAAAGGGAAACTTTCTCCACGGTGGCCAGGAAAGAGCTGGGATGCAATGATTCTGAGGCTAGGCAGGGGGAAGGAGGAGAATGTCATCCCAAAGAGTGGGTCCTTTATGTAGGATCGGGGGCAACTTGAGACCACACAGGATCATATCCACCTTTAGTAGTATGATCTTCACTTAAAAAGCTTTCCCAGGGTCTAACAGGACAATGCCACAGGCTTTTAAGTTTGTCACCGTTTGATAAATTGTAATGTTTATTGAGCATATGAGAACATGGGAATACCCAGGCCTTGTTATATTTAATAGTTTGAGCCACATGTGGCAAAATTGACTTCTACCTTCCTAACAGGCTCTTCAGTTCCTACCTGTAACAAAATTCATCTGTAGCCTTTAGCGTCACGTAGGCTCATTTTCTAAGGCAAAATTGCTGCCATCCTATATAAGGGGGGCGAGCTTTGTAAGAATATTGATGAAGTCTTGCTTATACAAATAGCAGCTGACTTGACTGCAAAACCCATGGCCCTCACCTAAAATAAAGCCATGTGTCTGGATAGCTCAGCAGTCTCAAGATGAGATTTCTAAACTACTTCTGTTGTTTTTGAACACACTGAAAAAGTATCCTAGAAAAAGTCTGATCCCAATTGTGGACCTCATATCCAGAGTTATGACATTCCCTTCCTTCCATTTTCAAAACATTCCACGATGGCTTAGGGAGTTCAGGCTGCTCCTGCTACACACATTACAGAGAGGAGGGCATTTATTCCTTACTAGTTTTCTGTCTGATAACTAACATCTGAAATATCCCTAAACTTAGAGGTCAGTTATCCTTAGTGAAAAGATGGATACTATCAGGGTGGAACAGCAGCTTTGGGCCCACGAATTAGTTAAATGTTCTTTCATTTTACTCAGATCATCAATCACTAAAGGGACAAACAGAAGTAATCATCATTGAAGGACTACCATATTACTTCTCCAATGTGCCAGATGCAAAGTAAACCTTTCCAGCGGGAATTAGCAACCCCAGAATCTCACTCCCATTTCTGGAGGACCCTCCAGCTGTGAGAACTTAGCCGTGCACAATTACCTTCACTTCAAATAAAAGAACTTATTAACACAGGTCCTCATAAAAGAATGAAAGATCCTATTCACTTGGAAGTTATGAACAGGCCTTTTCTTCTACCATTTTCCCACGAAAAGATCTATGAAGCAGAAATAAAACCTGAGAATGAATTTGCGGTTGCTAACCAAACTACTCCATCTGCCCCCGACACAGGAAATAGGAAGGATATGGGACGTGTTGGGAAAGTAGAGAAGCATCTGAGTTATGTGACCCACAAGAGAATATCTCTACAGCTTCCCTAAACAAATTCATTCCAAATTATTATACATAATATAGGCAAGTGCTGATTTCCGTATCTGTGCCTTTCAACTCTCTGCATTTATCTATTTTGCCTGGAAGCAGCACTGAGTTCATATCCTTTAAAGAAAAAAAACAAAACTAATGGCTATTCCCATTGGGGGAGTAGTTATAAAAATGACTCTGGAAGCAGGGAAATGGAAGTAGGGAAAGAAAATAGAGGAAAAGAAAGGAAGAAGAAACTGCGTTAGTTAGTGTGTTTCCAAGTCCTATGTCAAGAGAAATCTTTCTCTGAGCATTCCTCTTTGGAGCCAATCTGTTCTTCAACACTAGATGGCACCATTGACTAATCTCATCTTGGCAAGAGAATCATTTGATTGCCAGTTCAACATGGAATTGGGAACCATCCCCAGAGCTGCTTCCCACCACTTCTGCTTTTGGCTGCAACCATCCCGGCTAGACTTTGAGGGAATCTGGAGAGCATATGGGTGCAAAAAAATTGGGTCAAGTTGCCACACCTTCACCCCTACTGTACTCTACTATACACTACTGCTTGGGCAATAAATATACAAGGTTTTTCTCTGCCCTTCTGATAGTTCATGCTTTGATTTTCCTCACTCCTGATTTCTTTAAGGGCCATATCCAGTGGAGTGATGGTAAATGTGTAACAACCAGGTCTCTAAAAAAGAGGAGAAAGGATGTTGATTTGTGGCCGTTGCCAATTTCCCTGGTGTAAATACTCCCACCATGGCTGATTTCAAAACCAACATGAATTGGGAAAAGATGCATATTAGCACACCATTACATACTATTACCTAAATATGGATACAAGAGCTAAAAATAACCTCAAGAACACAGATGATAGTAAACCATAGTAAAATGATTAAGCTATGATGCATAGTGAGTATTTATTACCCTTTTCAGATATCATTTATTTCATTGTAAATTTATACAATTTGCCTACTGCATGAGAATCTCTGGTAATCTGTGTTTTTAAGAAATAGGTGGTCTCTGCACATATGGAAGTTAGAGAACCTTTATTTTGATGTAGATAAACCTACCAACGTTTTGCCTTATCGTTAGCACTTTGTGGATCATATTTAAGAAGTCTTTTCCCAGCTCAAGATCTCTTCTCTTACATATATGTCTATTACAGTCCACAAAGTGTCTTCCTTCTCTGCAACTTAGCACCAGTGTCTACCTCTCTCTATATGCTACAGCTAGTATCTGATCAATGATAACATAATTTGGCTAAACTTTTAACCAAAATAACTAACTAACATCCTCAGTTCATCTATTATCCCCTCCTTCCTCATTTTCAACCCTGGCTTTATCCCTACCTCTTACCCCACAGCAGATAAAGACTCCAGTACTGTATCACACACTTGAAAGTTGCTAAGAGAGTAGCTCTTAAATGTTCTCACCACATCCCAGACTTAAATGGTCTCAACAACAAAGTGCTAACTATGTGAGGTGACGGATGCATCAACTAACCTTATTGTGGTAATCATTTTGCAATATATACATGAATCAAGTCACCACATTATACACCTTAAACTAACACGTTCTATCAATTGTATCTCAATAAAGCTAGGAAAAAAAATACTTATCCAGGGGTTTCCTGTAGCCCATGGCAGACAGCCGATGCCTCAAGGATCTGTGCCCCTGTTCAAGAGTAGGGACGGGGGACTTCCCTGGCGGTCCAGTGGTTAAGACTCTGCACTTCAAATGCAGGGGGTGCAGGTTTGATCCCTGGTCGGGTAACTAAGATCCCACAGGCTGCACGGTACGGCCAAAAGGTAAAAAATAAAATTAAAAAATATTTTTTAAAAAAGAGTAGGGACAGGATAAAAGTTTAATGCATATGCTACTTCTCCCCCACCCCATAATACCCCATATTTTAACCAATGTGAACCAATCACAAGAGTTGGCAAACAACCACGACTATAAAAACCGAAAGTTCAAGGATGAAATTAATTCCCTCCCAGAAGGAAAGGACACTTCTATACCCACAACTCACCAGGGCCCAGATGCTCACGAGGGAGGCACCACTGAGGTGGGAGATGTGCCCCTTGAACCAACCCCCATGGAGGTCCCACGGTTGCAAAGGCCGTCCTTCAGGTGCATTCACTGCTGCAACGGCACCATCTATCCCACTGCTCACCCTGTGATTGTACAGAAAATTGACTCAAAATTGTCCTTGAGAGACTGGACATGACTCTTGCCAACTGGGTTTGGCTGGAAGCCCAGATAAGAATGAATAACAACCCAAGGCAGAGCGCCACAGTCGCAGGCTGGGCCAAACCCAAGGCCTCTGAGGCCATCAGTACTACCGGGGAAGTGATGTCAGGCCATGGGCTGGGGGCGGGGATTGAAATGACTCCCACTTCCCAGTATTTTCTTTCCCCAAGAAAAGGAAGAAGAGTGATACTGGTACTTTTCTGCCTATATTCCTGGTTAGTGTGATTTTTTGAACTACAGGTAATCTCCACGCCATGGCTCTTTCATTATTAAAAATCATGGCCACATTCAGGACCTGGGACTTGGAAGAAATGCTAATCCAAGGACATTTAATCTGACCTAGGATAGTGTATTAGTTATCTATTGCTGCATAACAAATTACCATAAACTTTAGTAGCTAAAAACAATACATATTAGTATCTCACAGTTTCTCTGGGTCAGGAGCCCAGGCAGGGCCTAGCTGGGTCCTCTGCTCAGTGATGCTCACAGAAGACCATCAAGGTGTTGGCTGGGCTGCTGCCATCTCAAGGTTCTAAGAGCGTGTAGTTGCTGGCAGGATTCAGTTCCTCACGGGCTGTTGGGCTGAGGGCCTCAGCTCCTCACTGGCTGTTGACACAAAGGCGCCCTCAGTCCCTTGCCATGTGGGCCTCCCCACCATGGCGGCTTGCTTCATCGAAGTACACAAGCCAAGAAGGCAGTGGAGAGTCAGCTAGCAAGAAGTAGATCCAAATCCTTTGTAAATTAATCGCAGGAAGAGAGAGCCCGTCACCTTTACCATATTCTATTGGTTAGAAGCAAGTCTCTAGACCACTCCCACTCAAGGGGAGGGGATTATACCACAAGGGTGTGCATACCAGGAGGGGGTCATGGGGGGCCACCTAAGAAGCCTGCCTCCTACAGATAAAAACAAGAATTCACCAGGGTAATCCACAATCTACTACAGTGGGTTTTTCATTTTTAATTTCAGTGCCTAATGAGAACCTTAGAATAAAGATAATGTTAATAGAAAATATAGAAGTAAAACATTCCTCGTTTATATGCAGGACTACCTATTGCTCCCAGTGGCTTTAGGGATAACAAACCAAAACAAAACAAAATCCCTAGAGTTAGGAACCAAGTCAGTGCTCCTAAGAAGTGAGGTGCAAAATCGTGGCTGATTAGCAAAAACCAGCTCTGACATGTATTTATCCTTTCTCCCTCCCAAGACCCCACTAAAATGAGAGTGAATGAATGTCAAAGATTTCCCATTTTACCCTTGCCATTTGGCCCAAGTTAAGAGGTAGCATCTGTGAGGTGGACAAGGGAATTCGACACATTTCTGGAAGGAGGAAAGCAGGAGCAGCGGCCGGGCAGCAGGAGTCCCAGCTTCAAATTCATGTGGAAGGAGCTTAGCCAAAAGGGTTCTGAGCAGGGAAAGGCTCAGGCCTAAGACCAGAGTTAGTGCCATGGGGGTAAACACGACAGCTTAGTCAGAAGTCTATATGATGAAACAGCCAAGCCCGCTTTGGTACCTCTCTGCACAGCTGCAAGCTGCCCACAGGCAGACCTATAGAAAGGAAAGGAAGCTAACTGAGACAGATAGCAGATGAAGCATCTCCTCTCCCTCTCCAGCCTCACTAAAACAACAGTGAAGAAAGCTTTGTGAAAGTCTTAATCCACAAAGGCAAAGAGAACATAAGAGGATTCAGCAGTGGACAAGGTTGTTTAACAAAGTGTTCAAAGGTGGAGTGTAACCAACCAAGGAGAAGTCTTAACCTAAGACACTACAGAGGGAGATGCAGACAGAAAATGAGCGAGTCCTCACAGAGACTCAGTACGTAAGGGCAACAGGAAGGCAGGAGGGGAGCAGAAACTGGGGTAGGTAAAAGTTTCTACACAGAAGGGTGGGATACAGGTCCCCATGAAGCCCCATACAGCTTGGCTACCTCCCCTCTGCCAGCTGCAGAAGACCAGGGGGCAAGTGGAGCCCCAGGCTCAGGGACCCAAATCAGAGCAGAGGGCCAGGGGGAGAGAAAAGGTCAGGTCAGTGGCCAGGACTCTGAGAGCCCCGGCTCCTTCCTGCTCCTTGTTCCCAGGAAGCCTACAGGCAGGTTACCTGGCTCAGGTATAGTCTCCCACTCAGGTGGGGAGCAGAGGACTCATCTCTGGAGAAACTGAACACCCCAGAGAAAAGACCCCTGCACAGTGATATTTAGGGCCCCATGTAAAAGCCCACTTGCCACCTAATACCCTTACAGCAGAGACTAGCAGGCAAGAGACCACTCATGAATGTCTTTCTCTGAAATGGGGAGCCAAAAATTTTGAGTAAGGAGTTATTCTTTTCCTCCTTCTCCATCTGCACTCGCTTTTTCCTGTCTAATGGTTTTGCAGCTGCCACATCCTGTCCTGCTGACCATCCATTCCAGAGTCTGGTCTTTGAATGGCAGTTTGGGGCCCTGGCCTGGGGGGGACATAGGAATGTCACAGATCCAGGCCAGAACCAGTGGGATGGTTTGGCTTAATGAGTTTGCCTCCTTGGGCCTCCATCTTTCTCAAAGCCACAGCCAGGTACACAACTGGTGCCCATCTCCGCTGAACTCTCAGCCACCACTGCCAGGCTCCAGGTGCAGCCGACCCACAGTTCGATCTTGCCCAATGTTCTGCATTTTTGTTTTATTTATAACCCATGGGCTTATTTATCTTGTTTTTGAACCAGCCTTTTTTTCTGTCTTTTTATATTTTGTGTTCCCTTTTTATATTATACTTTTGGAGCCGAGAAGCTGATCAAGTCATGAGTTCATGGTACCATCCTGATGGAACCCCACATTTTGGTTTCTAGTACTATTTTACACCAAAAAGAACCAGGGCTCCTAGTGGAGTAGTTGATTCTGTGTTTGGGCAAGAGAACTAGTGTTGGGACTAGATGTCATGGAGACCATCAAGTATATCTGGAGAGGTGACAAGAGAGTCGAGTTGAAGGGGCCAAAACTGTGACAAGCAGCAAAAAGAAAACAATGATCATTGTCACTGGGACCAGCTGAGTTGGAGTGAGGCCCTGAGTCCATGATGACGTTCAGAAGGTACAAAAAACAGAAAATGTGCCAAAGACAAGTCACGTGCTCCGATCTGAGTCAGCCAATTGGTGCTTGACTCGTGCAGCATGGACCACAGGAAAGTGACCTTGAAAGTGACTATGAAACTTAAACCAACCTCAGAATCAGAGCGACGTGGAGAAAAGGGTATTTAAAACTAGACTCATGGGGGAGAGTGTAGGAAAATGAGCAGAGGTAATAACTTTGGGCACTGACTCAATTTTTTTCCCCAAGATGAGGCTGGGGCCTTGTTGTTGCCAAGTTCAGCTGAAGATCAAGAAGTGCCTGCTATTTGTAAGCATTCCTCTGAATGGAAGCACATAGATCTTTAGCCTAAGTTTTTCTAGAAGGATAAAGACCCAATATAGAAGGGCAATATACCAGATCCAGTGAGGTCCCAACTTACATAAAGTCTTGAGCCCCACTGGGGTCCTTGGGTGACAAAGGGAGTCATATCTGCTCTTCAGTTCCAAAATAATTTGTAGCTTTGGCTAATTTTATCAGGAACTTACTACAGCGTGTAGAGGTAGGGAGGCTTCCTCCTTGTCTAATTTAACTTGAAACACTTAAGAGTAAGAAAAAAAAATGAGGATATAGTAAAATCAAGGATCAGTAATTAGAATCCCTAGGGTGAAAGAGCTGTATGAGGGAGAAATAGTTGTACTACGTTATACCATTTTGTTCTGGAGTAAACAGCATTTAGATCATCATAGTGATATAAACATTTTTCTTGCTTTTCAGTTTTTTGAATAAACCTTTAGAAAAGTACAGACTTCATTATGGTTACAAAATAGAACATAAATGTTTTTTTTTAAAACAAACAAACAAACACTATGATCATGTAAAAGCAAAAGGGCAGATGCCCAGAGTTAGGAGATGGAAAAGTGTAAAAAGAGCCGGAAGAACAGACAGGAAGCTCATAGATCCAGTTCGCAGAGTGGGGAGGCAAGGGGTCCTGTCCAATGCTAAGGCTGGTAAAACAAGAACCTTTTTGAAGGGCAATTGAGTAGAATCTGTTGGGATTTTAAAGTCTATCTGGAGGGATCCGAAAGAAACCAGCAACAACAGTCGCCTCTAGAAGGTGATCAGAATGCCTGAGGAACAAAAGAGGGGGTGTTTCACTGTGGACCCTTCCTGTCTTGGACTTCTAAACCGTTTTTACAACTTTGAAATAAAAATAAAGGTGCATAGTCAACCGTCCAACTCCAGGACTGCCCCCTCCCAGAAGAGCAGCATCGGTGCACAAGACCTGACCAAGAGCCTCCACCAGCAAACTGTTGGACACAAATACAATGCCCGTTAGGACAAAGATGGTTGTGTTACAGGACAACCATGACATGGGCTATCACACACTAAAGAATTCACTGGACCTATGCTGACGAACATGGAAAGGTGTCCTTATTAATATCTCATTTAATGAGATGAGTTGCTCAATATGTGTAAGATCTCATTTTTAGTACATTTTAAAATTATATGTACATATGATTTATACACACAAAAATAGTCTGGAAGGACAGCAAACTGAACAGCAGTTACTTCTGGGGATAAGAGTGGGGAGAACAATTTCGACTAGAGATGTCTTATTGGAATTTATTATGAGACGTCTGTATAACGTGTGGACTTTTGTCGATAATTTCCTCAAAGTATAGCTTTGGTGCTGGGGGTAGTGAGTTCAGCTGATGAACTCCAGGGAGGAGATGCTCTGCCACCTCTGCCTCCCTCGGGAAGAAGCCCGGTGAGAGCAAGGCCTGATCCACAACCAAGTCATTTCCATGTCAAAAGCATCAAGACTGCACTGATGGGTCCTATCTGGACCTTCAGGTGTTCAAAAAAGTGGGCGGCAAGCCCTTGTCTGACCATGATGAGCTCAAGATCAGGGGGTCCCTCTATGATCACGGAACTCAAGAAACCCCAGGAAATGTTTCTCGAATGAATGATTGCCCATAACACTGTCCCCAGGAGCCGGTTCCTGAAGCCTGTCCAACCTGCAGGCTCAGCTGTTGGTGCTCTGGCTCCACAGCAACTGCTCAAAGAAACCCAGGCCAAAAGGGAGCTGTGAGGCAACTGACCGAGGGCTGAAGCCTGTGATCCCCAGACGAGGACTCAGCCACGCACCAGAAGTGTGGCTGTCTTGGTTAATGACACACAAAATTCTCAAAACCAGCAAGGTCATGGAATGTCCGCCCCTGTCTGGACCTAGAGGGTCTGTGAGGCCTAGAGGCCTTTTGTCTGGAGGACAATAATTTTGGACACATCCACGCCAACACCACCCATAGCTGCTGACTGTTTATTGCACAAGAAACTGGCAATACCGAGGCAAGGGGGTGGGCATTACAAAACAATCTGGTGACCAACTCAGAGCTACCAAAGGGCATTCCGTACAGACACCTCAGTTATATACACGTATGTACACACCCACACCCACATGACAACACTGCACACGCATGAGCCTGAGGCTCCCAAACCCCGCAAGGCAGCTTGCACCCCAACCCCCAACATGGTGAGACACCGCAGGGAAGCACTGCCAACGATTCGAGGGAAGAAGAAAGGTTGGGCTGCAGTGAGCTGAGCCACCCGAATCAGCACACACAACAGAGCCAACATAGGCCAGGGGGAAGGACGAGGACCTGGGAGCACGAGACTGTCCTCAGAAGACCACGTAGCCAGTATGAGGGCCTGCATGGGGGCCCAGCAACAATCACCACTCCAGCATCCCAGAGGAGAGTATTCGCCTGGAAGATCTCAACACATAGCAGGATGCCCACGGCAGAGGCTGGCAGGAGCTCCAGCAATCAAGTCAGACAATGGGCAGCAGCTCAGGGCCCTTCTGCTGGCTTCCAAGAGCATCGTTTCCTCTGTGCAGGTAAAGCTGCACTTCTAGGCAGAGTGAACACACTCTACAGTAGCTGGGGTGCACTTCATTCTCAACCCGGACGCATGTGCCGCCTGGAGGTCCGGGGGCTTGGCAGGTCAGCCCCACGTGCCCCGTCACCCCATCTAGCAAAGGGAGTTGTCTACTGGAGGCGGAGAGGTCGGGGTGCCACTCAGGACAACAACCCCCTTCCCTCTCTGTCAAGGGTTGGGGACAAGGCTGCTGGGAAGCTGAGCCGCCGGGTCAGGCCTGCCTGAGCTCGTAGAACTGCTAAGCAGGTTCCTAAGGGGAGCAGCTGTTTGGGAAATTCTTGGACCAACAGTGCTGGGTCCCTCAGGGTCCCAGCCATGCCCGGCACACCAGCTCCTTGACAGGAAGCAGTGACAGCAGCATACCAGCAACAGAACACAAAGCAGCCCTACACACAAAATGTTTCAAGTGTATGTAAATGGGAAAAGAAAGTCTGAGGGGGTTTGCCGTTTCCATCCGCAACACCCAAGCAGCTGGTACGACCCTTTATCTGCTGGAAAGAACCAACTGGCCAGCAATGAGTGGAGGGAGGGGCCATGCTGCTCAGCCTCTGCAGCTGGAGACGGCTAGCGAGGGACGAGCGGCGACCTTGATCTGGAGCTCCGCTCCCTCAGACCTTCATTTATACAGATCACTGGAAAAGTTCTAGACAAAACAGAACCTCTTTTACTGACAAAGACCGTGGGCTTTGTTAGCCCAGAACACCTACCCCAAGTGGTCGGTCTCCTTCTCACCTAACCAGCCCATGAGGCCGAGGGCTGCGGCATGGCGCGCCCCACCTTGCACACTCACACACACCTAGGATTGGTCTCAGGGGAGAAGGAGGGTGAGCTCTACAGACAGGGTCAGCCCTCCAGACTTTGCAATGGTTGATGGGGCCAAGAGTGACATGGGGGCTTTATTCCAGACTGCCACCAGCGGGTAGGAGGGTGGGGTGGGCAGGGCCTCTTGAGGTCAGGCTCTTCTGCCACCAGCCTGATGACAGTGTGGTCCTGTGCAGGGCCGCCATCCGCAGGGGCCTCCCGGGCTGTGCGGCCAGCAGCTTCTCGGGCAGGCAGGACTCTGGACTACATATGTGCTGGGGGTGTGGGAAGGGGCAGCCTGAGTTACTCCTGTCCAAAGCCCTCGGTCTCCTCGACAGCATACAGCAGCTTCTCCTTCAGCTGTTCGTAGCTCTTGTATGGTGGCAGATCCAGCCGGTTGAAACTGTTGAGAAAGGAGAGCAGGGCAGTCAGCACAGGGAGGTCAGAGCTCTAACAGCCACAGGGTGGGGTCAAAAGAGTTCTCAGACTGTGGCTCGACCACAATGCCAGCCAGCCAGACGCCAGAACAGGGTCCCTGAAGGCTGTGCTGTGTCCCTGGACCATGAAGGGGTCAGAGGAGGCAGGGCTGCAAGGGAGATGGGGAACCACAGGCAGGGGGGACTCAGGACAGCAGCTCTTTGCTGACTGGAATAGCAGTGTTTCAGTATTTCATATCTGGCACGGCCGTCAGGGCACATAACTGCTGTCACAACTCCCAAAAGATCAGAGGCCCAGGCCCAGGCCCAGGAGCCCCTCCTCCCCAAACCCCAGAACTACACACAAGTTGCCCGGGTCAAGGCCCTGAAGCCACCTTGCCCACAGGGCTGCCCTCAGTGGCTCATCGGGTCTCAGGTTCTGGCCACCTCCCACCAAAACCAGCACACTCACCAGGTGTGGCTTCTGGGCAGCCAGGTTTCCTTGCCAACCTTGTCAATGCAAAACTTCTGTGGTCCATTGCTACCTGTTACCCAAAGAAAAACACATTGTACATAACAGGATGGTCCCTTCCTAAGGCAGGACCCTCCGACTCCACCACAGATGGTTCAGCCCCCTTCCCCTGACTTGCTTCCAGCAAGACACTAGGTCCTGCTCCCGCTTTGAGCTGTCCTCCCCTCCACCCAAGGGTGCGAGCAGGGCAAGTGAAGACATACCAATGAGTTCGGTGAATCCCCCAACAGGCAGGCGGCAGGTCCCAGTGACAAACTGCAGCAGCCGGATTCTCTTCTCATTGTCCATCTCCTTCACCACCTGGAACCCCGCAAGCCAAGGCAGAGTCAGGGCCCCCATGGCCCAGCACTTTGCCCTGACCTGTAACTCTCCAGTCAGCCAGGGCCCCTCTTTAGGGCTGAGAACGTGGAGCCCAGGCTGGGTAGGAAGGTGACAGCCAGTACCTGGGAAACCCCAAAGCTGCTCTAAGAGGCTGTGCTTATAGACCGTTCCCACCAATCTATGTGACATCTCTTGGTCTCAGGGACACCCCAGGCCAGGTAGTCTCCTTTCCATTCAAGTTCCACTTCTAAAAACACACTAAGGGTCTTCCCTGGTGGCTCAGTGGTTAAGAATCCGCCTGCCAATGCAGGGGACACGGGTGCGAGCCCTGGTCTGGGAGGATGCCACATGCCATGGAGCAGCTAAGCCCGTGTGCCACAACTACTGAGTCCACACACCGTAACTCTGAAGCCCACACGCCTAGAGCCCGTGCTCCACAACAAGAGAAGCCCGCACACCACAACAAAGAGTAGCCCCCGCTCACTGCAACTAGAGAAAAGTCTGCGCGCAGCAACAAAGACCCAACGCAGCCAAAAAATAATTCATTAATGTTTAAAAATGCTAAGGATGAGACTGACTGCTTAATAGGTATGAGGTTTGTTTCTTTTTTTTTTTTGGCTGCACTGCATGGCTTGTGGGATCTTAGTTCCCCAACCAAGGACTGAACCAGAGCCCTCATCTGGGCCCTCGGCAGTGAGAGCTCAGAGTCCTAACCACTGGACTGCCAGGGAATTCCCTGTATGAGGTTTCTTTTTAAGGGAGATGAAACGTGCTGGAATTCGATAGTGGTGATGGTTCCACAATGTTGTCAAAAGCCACTGTAAAAGCCACTGAACTGTATACCTTAAAATGCTTAAATTAACATGGTGAAGTTTTATGGTATGTGAATTTTACCTCCATAGGAAACCTATATACGCTCATTCTTTTTTATGTATGCTATACTTCAAAAGGACAACAACGACAAGACCCACTCATGTAAAGGAATCGATTCACTGTATCCAGGACATCAAGCGCTTTCAGTTTCCCTGGAGCAAGCCCAGGCTTTCCCACCCCACCTGGCTGGAAGGAGACCACGCGACCCACGAGAGCTCTCCCTCCTGCCTAAACCACCCCCCGTCCACACACACACACACACACCAGCATTGGGAGCTGGCCCACCGCTGACACCTCCTGTCAAATGCAGTGGCCACGACCCAGCTGCAACAGCTCCTTTTGTCCCAAGGTTGGGTTTTTCATCTCCTTTTGCAAGTTGGGGGAGGTTAGGAGAGTGTCAAAGACGAGGGAGGTGATAACACAAGCGTCCTCAAGCTTGGGGTCCAATCAGGTCTCGCTTTCTGTGGGGACGGCTCAAACATCCCTGCCCAGACCCTCACCCTGACTGCAGGGACCAGACCCAGTACCCACCTGCCAGAACCACTGGATCTGCTTGCTGTTCTTGGTATAGTGCCGGTAGATAGTGTTCTTCTGCCAGTCGCTCATGTCTATCTCCTGCATGCCGCACAGCATCAGCTGTGGTGGAGAGAGGGTGTCAGGCACCCGGCGCCAGCCCTTTCCCCATGGTGCGCCGTGCCTCGTCCACTCCCTGGCAGATGAAAGCATCCCACACGTCTTCAACTATTTCTGCGGGCAGTTTTAATAGTATGGGTAACACGTGGACCCCCTGCCGACAAGGGCCCAGGTGCGGGCAGGTGCGAGACCCAAGTCAACGTTATTCGCCCGCTGCCACCGTCCTGGGAGAGCGCAGGGTTTTACTGGTGAGTCGCTGTGGGTGCGCAGGCGAGGCTCTCAAAGGGCAGGACAGCCCCAGGGGCAAGGGGTTCAGGGTCCCAACAACCTCAGCCCTCACCTCCAGCTCTTTCTCGTCAAAGTAGCGCAACCACTCCAGGGGGGCCACCTCGTTGAAGCCATCCAGGAAGGCCTTGGTCTGCTCTTCCACGCCTCGGGTGAAACGCCAGTCAGTCAGCAGCCTGAAACCAAGACCGGCCGTCGGAGGAGCCCGAGATGCACTGCCTAGGAGGCCACCGCCAGGGCCTGCCAGGGGGCTGCTATCGGCAGCTGAGAGTTGACCTCGGGCAGGCGGGACTCCCAGGCTGCGGCCGGCCCCAAGAGCACGGCCTTTAAAACCTCAGAGTAACCGGGCGACACTTGAATCTCTGAAATCCCCCCCTTCTGCTCCTCTCACCACTGCTGACTGAACCTCAGATGAGTGGAGGTTAAAAGACGAGACCAAGGGGCCTGAAGAAATGGGCACATTCATGCACAATCTCACGTGCGAGAGTGGGTTTAAGCGGGCAGGACACAGACACCCTGTGAGTTAGGAGGAAGAAGGGGGATGCGCCGAAGCTTTATGCCTCTTCAAAGAAATTCAGCCTTGCAGTCTTGAAGTCTACCACTCGGGAACAAAGGGCACCCGGGAGCTGGCACAGAGGGCTTCGGGCTCTGGCTGCCCCGGCTCTGCTCAGCACGTGACTGGCCATGGCAGCCATCTGAGGTCAGGGCAAAGTGAGAGGTCCTTTCCATCCCTGGTGATCCAGGGGCCACGCGTGGGGGCCTGGCTGAAGAGGGTGCCCCGGGATAAGAGCGGGAGACCCTTTCTCTGCAGCCAGCTGTGTCTCTGCTCCCCTTTCTCCAGGCCCCTGGCTTCCCAACGCTTGAAACTCACATGATGTACTCTTCCTTGTTCTCCTCTGTCACTCGGATGCTCTCACCACCTTCCTTCAGCTCATGGGTTGTCACCTTGCCCAGGATCTCCATGTCCTGGATGAAGTACAGCTCTAGGCCGCACTCTTCCAGATTGTTCTCTCTGGGGGCACGAGAGACCAAGAGGGAAGATGTCTGTCTTAGAAGGGTCTTCCCTCCCTCCTGCTGCGTCACTCACTTTTAGTGCCTGTGGGACGCGAGGACTCACAGGTGGCCTAGAACCCAGAAAGGCTGTCACGGGACATCTCCCTGATGCAAGGAGAGAATTCCAGAGCTGCCCTGCAGGGGGACCTAGAAGCTGTGCATCCACCCGCACTACGACCCACCCTGAGACTCCCTCTTCTCCCAGCACAGGGCGATGGAGGGGACCCACTTGATCCAGATGATAGATTTGTAGAATTCGGGGTCGATGGATTCCAGGTCTTTCAGGGTTGGTCTCTTGTTTAGCATCCGCTTGTAGAAAGGGAGGGTGAAGCCTGTATCGATGAACTTTCCATGGTACAGAGCCTGAGGAAGGAAGAGACATGGCAGAGAGATCTGGTTTTCCTAGGATGCCCCATATCACCTACTGCCCAGCTACTGCAACCTGCCCTCCTGAGCATCCGGCTGCCCCAGGGGCCTGAAGGGAAAGTCTGCAGCACTTTTGGTCCCGCCTGCAGACTTCGGAGATGAGCAGACCTGGCCGCTCATGAACCCACCTCCGGCCCACTGCCTGCCTGCCGGCTCCCTGCTCTAGCAGAGATCTGCCCCCAGGCGTACAGAGACGACTCATTCAGCACAGCTCCAGGTGGTGGCCCTGACTCACTGCTGCTCTGAGCTGGGCAGCGGAGGCAGCCAAAAATAATGCAGACGCGGCTGCTGGCGGGCCAGTGGTGAGTAATAGTCTAGGGTTTTACTGGTCTGTCCTGTCCGAGGCAGGGCCAGGCGGGTCTCTAGACCGGGGAAGAATGTGCCCACTTCCTGAGCCCAGCACCTTGGCCAAGAGCTTCCAGACAAAGGGAAGGGACATATTTAGTCATGGGCTCTTGGGTCCTCCTGAGAGGGAAGGGGGGCAGACACTCACTCGGGAAGTCAGGGGAAGAAGTGAAGGAAAGCTAGCAGTGAAACCTCTCAAACTACCAAATGTGGCAGTGGGACCGTGGCCCTCATGGGCTCCCATCTCCATCCTGGTTCCTGATGTTCATGAGACACTCAACAGGACACTCAACAATATTCACACTGTACTCCTATTTCTACATAAATACAAATACCTAACTCCCCGTTCCCTACTTTGCCCTCCTCCTGACAGATGCCTCCTACATCTTGCACCAACCGGTCTACTAGGGTTCTATTCTCAGCTAGTGTAGATTCCAAATCCCCTTCCAGAAGGCCTGAGTCTCAGTCGGACATTCCCAAACGCTGCCACCCAGCTTGTGGCAACACCCAGAGACAGGCAACAGGTGGGCTGTGTCCGTCATGCCCCAGCCCCAACGGGGCAAGTGCTGAACGTTAAGTGAAGACTTTGATCCAGGGACCCTGGGCTTTCGCTTGACAAATCCTACACAAATCAACACGAAAACCTTCTCAGCGCCCTGGGGTGGCCACTGAGAGAGCTCTGAACTATTTCCAGGACTCTCTCGCTAGCTTTTTGCATCTTTAGTGAGTAGTTCTGTAAAAGGACGAGGGTGGGGCTCAGAGAGGGGGGCGCCAGGCTGCAGTGGCTGCTGGTGGTGTACAGGGTCACCACCCTCCCTGGAGGGCTCGCGGCACCGAATCTTACCATGGCAATGAATCTGCCAATAAAGCGGAAGTAGGTGAGGTGGTCGGGGTTGATGGAGGAGGCGGGGTTGATCTGCAGGCAGTAATTGTTCTTCCCGGCGTATTCAAATAAACAGTACATGGGGTTGAGCACCTCGTGGGACAGGAGGAAAAACCACTCTCTGTGAGAAAAGAGAGAGAAAAACGGAACTAATGGATCCTTCCCTGCACACCTGTTCTGGAGGTGCGACTCTCCTGTGCTGTCCTGTTTCACCTAGTCTGGAGACATGCGTCCTGGGGAGACAGCCCCACTGGGATCAGCACCTGGGCTAACCTCTGTGAACAGCTGGTCAGTGAACGGGGCAGGGTCAGACCTAGTGTGAACCAGAACAACTGCACTTGACGATGATGCTCAGGAAAACCTGCGTGCCTGCATGTTGGCTCCAGGTGCTGCGCTCCAGGACTTTCCATCTGTTATCCAGAGCGCCTAATGGCAAAAGAGCTCCTTGCACCCTGAGCCACTATGCACAGTTGTGTAGGCTGTGCACTGCATGACAACACGATGTTATAGTATCATAGATTTGTACATTTATCACGACAATTTTCCTGCAAATAGCAGTCAAGCTGCCTTTTTTCTGATAAAGCCAGTATATCTCGGCCATATTCCAACACAGAAGTGTCTTGACAAAGGGCATCTTTTTCTAAATCTTGCTAAAGGTGCTATATGAACAGCAGCCACGCTGCTTCCACCCTACCTGAGTAGGCAGCATAATGTGAATACAAGGTAATACGTTCCTAACTCCTTCTGCATGAAAACTCTGTAACCAATGCAGTGTCTACATTTCACTCCCCCCAGCAACCACGCAGGTATCTCACTGTCCTTGCACTTTGCCATCCCCTCACCCCAGACCCCATCAACCACACCCTTCCCCATATGTCCACACATTCATCTGAACCAAGGCCCACGCCTTCGCATCTCTTTGCTCCCTAGGTACAAGCCTCAAGCCAGAATTCAGAGTCCTTTGGGGCTTGAGCTAAACCAGCAGGGGGACGTCCCAAGGGGGCCAGTCCCTGGTTGCTGGGCTGTTTGTGGCCAGGCAGACGAGGAGTCCTTCGATGCAGAGGGTGCCCCGGTATCCTGTCCGTGGTTCTACCCTGTGGTAGAACAGCATGACGTAACCTACCATAGGGTAAAACCACTGGCAGGACACAGAGAGACAGACACACACGGGGCGGGAGCCACACCACCAAGCAGAGCCTAGAGAGGAGGTCACCACGGTCACCACGGAAAAAAGAGCAATCGATCCATGGGTGCCAACACAGAGGGCAACACCACCAGCACACAGAGGACCAGAAGCAAGTTAACCCAACACCAAGTGAGAAGACGTCCCCACACCATGAGAGGTCAGCAAGCTGAGCAGTCACCGCAGGCCAAGATGCTCCTTCTCTCTGCCGGGGCCCTTGTGCCCCATCGTCCAAGGCAACATTTTGCCAGAGTCTGTTAACTTTTGTAGGTGGGCTGGGGTAAGGGCAAGACAATGCTTTGAGCTCTTTTTAGGGTTATATCAGCTATTTTAATTTATTGACCCTGTGCACATGACACGCAGCTGAGTACTGATCAATGCCCTTTGGATTGCGACACAGCTTATACACGCCAGGTATACACCAAGACAGCCGACTTAACATGCCCCGGCTGCCTCAAGACGAAGTGAAGCCCAGGGTCGATTCTACTGGACAACCACTTAACACTGATATTTAGCTACTGACACTGGTGTAGCCGGAAATAATGACAGGTTGGTTGGTAAAGAGCCATTGTCCCGAGCCCCTCCCCCAGAAGGCCCCTAGCCTTCCCATGACCCAAAAACTAAAGGATTAATACCTAGCCCAGCAGGGGACCCCCAGACCCAGCTCCAGCGTCCCTTCGGACTGGCCACACCCCTGCCCACTCCTGAAGATGCAGGAGAGATCTGGCAACACTCTGAGCAAGAAGCAGACAGCTTTCTGGGCGTGGGCCCTGTAGCCTGGGGAAGCGGGGTGCAGCGCAGCCTTCCGGGGCTCCCAGCTCACCTGGCGATGCCTCCATAGTCCAGGCCCTCCTCGCCGCGCATGATGATGTAGAGCCGGCGGCGCAGGTCGTAGGGCTTCATGTTCATGATCTGGGGAGACAGAAGATCGTGGCCAGCCTGCCACTCTCCCTTCCATGGCAGGCTGGGGGGTGGGGGACAGGGGACTCCCAGGCCTGCTCTTCGGCAGATACCAGTCACCAAGGCCCACGCCTTGAGAACTCTACCATGTGGGCTTAACGGGCTACATGATAGAAGACAGGGTAGCGGGAGGGGACCTCCTGCCTGCCCCTGGTCTTAGACACGGTGGTTATTCTCTAACCTGTTGGAAAGAATCCTCAAAAAGTGTCTGCCTGGAAACGCTGATCTTCACATGGCTGGGGAGAGCATTTGACTGATAAGAAAAGGAAAAAACAAACCTCAAATTGGGGTCTTGGTGGTAACTATTCAGTCTGGTCACCTGTCTGTCTGAACAGCCTTCCCCATCCCCCTGGGCTTGGGGAGAGAACTTGGCTGGCTTCCTAGAGATAACGTCACAAAACTGCTTGAGGTGAGACAAGTGACCTGCTCCCACCTAAGACACAGGCATTCCAACGCCTGCTGCTGGGCTAGAAAATTGTGCTGAAATAACTCTACAACCCCAATCTCCAGGGGAGGTCCCAGTACCAGAACTCACATGGCAGAGGAAACGGAACTGGTGATACTTCCACCGAAAACTTCGGTCATAGGCACCAGGGGAACCTTGCTTCGTCCTGGGAAGAGCAAAGATGTTCTGGAATCCATGTGATTTCTCAAAAATTAGCAACGCATCCTGTTAGTCCTAAGGAAAGCTGATGCTATGTTAATTTAAAGACGAGTTAAGTAAGGTGTAAAAGAAAGAAAGTGACTGCCATTAAGACCTTCTGAAGATTTGAAGATTAAAAAGAAAAACTAGAAATAAAGCCAGAGGGACTTCCCTCGTGGCGCAGTGGTTAAGAATCCGCCTGCCAAGGCAGGGGACACGGGTTCGAGCTCTGGTCCAGGAAGATCCCACATGCCACAGAGCAACTAAGCCCGTGCGCCACAACTACTGAGCCTGCACTCCAGAGCCTGCAAGCCACAACTACTGAGCCCACGTGCCACAACTACTGAAGCCTGTGCACCTAGAGCCCGTGCTCCACAACAGAGTAGCCCCCGCTCTCCGCAACTAGAGAAAGCCCGCGTGCAGCAATGACGACCCAACGCAGCCATAAATAAATAAATTAATTAATTAAAAAAAAAAGAAAGCCAGACCTCTTGCTTTTAGAGAAAGACCACCAGTGTTATTCTGAGTAAATAGAGTAGCCCCTTCCCTCCACATCCCCACTAGTGTGACATCAAAACTGGCCACTAGAGGGCAGTAAGAGCAGCTATACCAGGCCTGTGCTAAGAGTGATGTCACCTGTGCAAAGTCCTTACCCAGACTCAAACCCTGGGCGAGGATCCTTAAAGGTGGTGGTGCGGGTATTGTGGTCCACGAAGTAACGCACCCCCTCGCTGGTGTACTTCATCTCCCACCCTGGGGGCAGAGCTGGTTCCTGGATCATCCTGGAAACATGGGAAGAGAGGGGTTAAGGGCTGGCCTCACCTTCTGGGCCTCCATGCTAAGGAGGCTGGGGTCCCTGAAGTGCTGCTTTCTCTCTGTTTTTACCCAGGCCCTGCACAGCCCTTGAGGGTGGGTCTTGAGGAAGTGTGCTTGGCAATACCCAAGTCCTGAGGATGGTTCTGCAGCAGAGAGAGGTCATCTACTGTCCTACTGTGGCAAAGAACCAGCCCTGGGTGGATGGCCGTGGCCTGAGTGGGCACCAGCAATCCCAAGGCACCCAGTACTCCATCCCAGACTAGCTTCTGGGGGGTGGGGAGTTGACAGTGTTGGGGCAGGGCTCTCAAGCCTTCTGAAATCACATGATCGGCATCCTGCACAATTGGCACAGAGACCAGCAGCACCTGCCAGCCAGGCCACTCTGTAACCATGAGGAAGGCCAACTTAAGGTGCCACTTTCAAGCTCTCACTGGGCCAACATCATATCATGAGGGTCTCAGGGCACCTGTGTGTGGCCGAAGTTCCCAGAACATCGGCAGTGGAGGACAAATGCAGTCCAAGGCCACCGGGCCAGAACTGGAGACCCCTCCCGGCCTGAGTCCTTACCCCTGGGTCCGAGGGTCCTCCCACTGGGTAGTGCGTGTGTTATGGTTCACGTAATACACCCGTCCGTTGTCCTGTCTCTTCTCTGTCAGGGGAGGAAGGAAAAGCGGACTCTCAGATTGAGACGTCTTGAGCCTATGTCCTCTCCCCTCTGGCTTCCACCTCCTGGGTGCTGGGTCTGAATTTCTACCCCTGTTCCTAACCTGTTAGAGAAGTTTAACCAGCGTGATCCTGGTTCACTCACATCTGTCACTGGCAAAAAGGACAAAGAGAATCTTTCCCTACTGGGGAGTAGGGGAGGGATATACACATTTTCAACTCCAGATCAAACACCATCTTTGGTTGGTTGATTTGCTGGAGGCAAGGGGGCAGTGTGGCAACACGGAGGGGAGAACATGGAGAGGGGGCAGTCCAGCTGAAAGCAGAGGCATAATTGCATCCAGCTGTGTGCAAAGTGGAGGCACAGTCCAGCCTCCCCAGGATCCTGGCTCCCACCCCAGTCCATCACGGCTGCTCTCTGGTTCTGCAGCCCCTCCATCCACTGGATGCAGCTGACCCAGGTGCCCCTGTCCCACAGGCAGGGTCACTGTGGGGTGGCTGCATTTTCCTTCATCCCTCTCTGATCAGCGCTCTGCACCACAGGGCCTATGTACCCCCCTGCTTAAAGGCAAAGTTTTGTTCTCAAACTCCTACATCACAGCAAAACCTCTATGTTGCACACATGCCAAGAGACCCCTGGGGTTGTGGGCACTTACAGTGCCATCCTGGTCTTATACCTAAGTGTGTGCTTCGAGATGGGGCCGTGTTTGGGGAGCTCAGACATACTTTCTATTCTCTGGACAACACTGATCCTCTTGCCCTTTTGCTGGTGTACTAACAATGGCGCTGAGTTGTTTGAGGGAGAAACTCTGGGCTCCAGGGGCAAATTCAACTCCAGCTGGTGATTCTGGTCTTTAAGAGGGATTGAAAGGGGTGCCCATCAGCTCCAGGTGGATGGCAGGCAAGACTGGAGCAAGACTCCGAAACCAAGAGCGTCACCTTTCCCAGCTCAAAGTTCCTGGGCTTTCAAACCTGTTTCTGTCCTGAAAACAAGCAATGCTCATGGCCCTCCCTCTTTTACGATGACAGGGAGAAATTAAAGAAATAAAAATCATCAGTTCCAGAAGCTACAGGGAAACCAAAAGCTGAAATAGATGCAGAACTAGGGAGCCCAGCCCCCTCCCCTTGAGTAGCAGGCTGCAATGTTCACAGTATCAACCCATGGTCCTGGTCTCTGTCTGACTTACCTGGTATCTACTACTTGATGGAAATTTCAAAAACAAGAGACTTGAAAGAAAGAAAAGAAGGTGACTGGGATTGCTACAGAGCTACCATCACCTCAGAAGAGCCTGTGGGACCGTCCCACAGAAGACCGGCTTCCCGACAGGGTTCTGAGGGGAAGAAGGAGCTGCTCCCAGCCCGGAAGCTTCTGCTTTGAACTAGATCCTCCCGCGTGTCCTCTCCCAAGGGCCAAAGCCGAGGCGGGTGGATCTGTCCAGCCGGGACGTGCCCTTGTTGCTGCGTGGAGGCCTTTCATGGCCCACTGGAACCACCTTGCTGCATGCAAGGTCGTAGTCTGGGAGCTGGGAAAGTCCTTAGGTGACATCTAGCTTGACCCCATTTAGGAAGAAATGGACTCGGGAGCATTCAGTCACATGCCCAGGGTCAGAGCAGCTGAGACGATGTGGATCTTAAACCTCAGATGCTCTGACCCCTGCGTCGGTGCTCAGGGAAAATGTGGGATCTCTCCTAGAGGAGCAGAAAGGGACCCAGGACTGAGCACAGGAGACTTGGCAGCAGGGTTGCACTAAATGCAACTCTCCTTTGGTTTTGCTATACTTTCTGTTCAATCTTAACTCCCCCAGGGGAGATGACCCTGCCACAGCCCTGGGGAAGCTAACACAAAGCCCAAAGGATTTGATCAGGAAGGTTCCCTGGCCCTCGGCCAGATGTTCTTTTCCTCTCAGTTTCGCATCATTACAGTCTTGTGTGTTCTCCTGATCATTTGTAAACAGCACTGACTCCGACCATGGCTCCTATTCCCATCTCAAATATTTCACACCTGGCTTCTAGGAGATGTTTTTGAGACCCTATAAACTGCTCTTACTTGGTGACCACCGTTTAGCAGAACTGGTACAGAAATAAACCACTTGACTCTACAGATCCAGGAACAATTCTGGGTCCCCTGCTCTAGTTCACAGGGTCTGCCAGATAGCCTTACAGATTCTTATTTCATCGGATGAGTCTTCCCCTGCCCAGCCAGGGATCCTATGTTTGACCCTCTCACATTTGACTTGCTGTCAATCTCTGAGACAACAGTGAACAGTGACCTTTCATCGGTTCAGGGAGCCGGGTGGATCAGCTGTGTGCCTAAGGGATTACCCCGCTGAAAAGTCAAGAACCGTGTGGAGGTCTCGCTATCTGAGTTTTTCCTCTAGGAGGGCTAGGAGGCCTTTCCAAGTGCCCTGGCACGCAGTGGTAATTGACTAACTGATACCCTGCAGGGCCATAGGGGTTGATGCAACCCTGCAAATTACTACCAGGGAGTAGTTGTGTCTGTATGGAGAGATGTAGAGGATCCAGTTCAAAAGCTGCGTTTTTCCAGGTGATGCTTTTCCTATCATTGTCAGCTTCTTCGTCTTTGTTGGGGAGCACACCCCGGCCTTTTTTAATACTATCTGTGAACACCATCAAACCAGCATTCGCTGTCTTCTGCTGGCCTAACAAACAAACTAAACCTGACCCACAACAATTCCTGCAAAAACGGCCCTCTTCAGCTCCCAGGGACTCCTGTCGTACATGCTGAACAAAACCTTGACCCAGCTCAGAGCTGCAGAATGCGCTGTGTCCTGCCATCTCTCACGACCCCTTTGTGCATGGCCACTCCTTCCCAGAATAGCCATAAGGCACACCGTCTCACCAAGTCATGGCTGTGCATCCCTCTAACTCATTATTGGCAAATCACACCAAGGACTTGGATTTCTCCAGTGACAAGGAGAATCCAGTACGACATCATAAACTAGCAACAGTGCGCTTCCATAACATCACCAGCCCTCACTCAACTCTCTTATCTGTTTCCCTCTGGCCCCTTTCACAGCCGTTATCATAAATAAAAAGGCGGCTGAAGTCAAAATCAGGCTGAAGTCCTCCAACATCTCAGCTGCAAAGAAAGGTCTGGTAAGGTGTCTAAGCAGACAGCCACGGACCTAAAACAAATGTATCTGGGAATCAGCCAGTGTCAAAATGCCTTCATCAAATAGGATGGATTCTTGAGGAGACACCTTGAAAGTCAGCACCACAACCCAACAGTCCCAAGGCTGCTGGGGGATTTCTCTCATAGGGTCACCCCCCTGCAGCTGCGGCAGGTGAGTGCTATAGGGGTGCAGGGGAACTCAGTTACTTTCCCAACCTTCCAGCTCCATCACCTGCAACTTCTCCAGCTGGGTATCCCCAGAGGGTGTGCTGGAGAGAATAGAAACAGGGAACCGAGGCAGGGAAGTGAGAAGATGTGCAGGGAAAGAGGACAGAGCACAACAAAGCATCAGCACAGAAGGAGAATTCAGTACTTACCCCAGCCAGGAGGGAGGGGGCCCAGTGGGTCATGGTCAGTGGAAGCACTCGAAGACTAAACACAAGAAACACAGCAGAACACAGAAGTTAAAAAAAAAAAAAAAAAGGCCACTGCTTAAAAATAAATCAATCGGTAAAAATAAAAATGCCAAGGACTGGTTTCCACATTTTAGCACTTTGCAGAGTATACGGTGGGGACTTAGGTGGCATCTGCTCCTCTCGAAAGTCTTCAAAGAAGAAGAAAAACCAAAAATGAACCCTGCACGCTGAGGGCCCAGACGGGTTGTGGAGAGGGTGGAGTGAGGGGGAGGGAGAGGTGTGCAGAGGAAGGTGGGCCAGGATGCCCCCAGGCCAGGCCAGGCCAGGAGCCCAGAGCGGGGCTGCCCGGCAAAGCGCGGCCTGCCGGTGCATCAGCCGCTCGGCTACTGCTCAAGGCGGCCAAGGCGGCTGAAATCACCACCACCTCCAACTTTCTCCAAGAACCACACACGGGAGGGGAAAAAATATCGCAGGCCTTTCCAATGAAATCATTCCCACAAACCCTGCCCACGCCCAGAGCTTCCTGGCTGGGGGCTGGGCCCTCCTCCCTCCTGGGCGCGGGGAGAGGGAGCAGCGGTGTGCGGCAGACTGAGGGCCATTCAGGCCCCGGGCCCCTCACCTCCCCCAGGAATGTTTTGCTTCCCTTCACAAAGCACCTTTCTTCTCCTCCGGCCTGAACCTGAAGTTGTTCAGTGTTCTGTGTGCGTCTGTCTGGGGAGGTGGGGCTGGGGGCGAGATGATGAGAGAGAGAGACAGAGAGAGAGAGAGAGACAGAGAGAGAGAGAGAGACAGAGACAGAGAGAGAGACAGAGAGAGACAGAGAGACAGAGACAGAGGCAGAGAGAGACAGAGACAGACAGACAGAGACAGACAGACAGAGACAGAGACAGAGAGACAGAGACAGAGGCAGAGAGAGACAGAGACAGACAGACAGAGACAGAGAGGGAGAGAGAGAAGGGGAGACAGGAGAAAGAAGGGGGAGCTGACTCCGGGCCTTCAGGGTCACTGTTTACATTAGAACCTCCACCCCCAGCCTCACTCTGCTGCGGGGTCCCTGGGGCAGGGCTGCAGTGGCCCAAGAGTTCTCACAGCCTGCGGGGAACAGGGGTGCTGTCAAAGACTCTTCACACTGAAATAAAACAAGTATTGTTCCCCGCTGGCTTGCTTTCTCTCTCTCCTTTTTTTTCCTTTCTTTCTTTTTTTTTTTTTGTGCCAAAGCATTTTTATTTCACTTACTAAAATTTAATTGTTACATGAGGGGGATCAAGTTCTCAATGCAGACTTCGGGCTGCCTGGCGGGCCCCGTCTGGGGGCGGTGGAGCCACACACACGGGCAGGAGGATGAATGGAGCTCAGTCTCGGCTTGAGAAAACATTGGTAGAACTCAACTGCCAACGAACCCCCTTCCATGGCCCTCCCTCCACCCCCCGCTGAAAGGACAGAGAAACTTTCTTTCTGAGGTGGCAGCTACAAGTGACTCTTCCAAAGCAAGTTCCAACAAAGACATTTCAGTCTTGAAACCATAGGTTCCTTGATGGGACGGAGCCCCCTTCCAGCAGAGGGCCTCCTAACCAGGCAGAGCGAAACTGCTGGAAGATGCGGGAAGCCGGGCTGTCCTGGATTTAGGGCATGTTGCCCTGAGCCTCGAGGGTGTGCTTACGACCCCCACCACTGTTCCGATTTGTCTGAGGGCTGCTGAAAGAAAACTTCCCCAATTCACGGTGGTTATAATGGTATGTGTGTGGAGGAGAGGCGAGGTGAGGGGAGTTGGCATGTCATAAAACCCAAGCTCCTCCACCTTTTTCATAGTTAATACATAACAAGAACAGTGGGTACAAAAAACACGCGGCAACAGAAGGGAAGGAACTACCTTGTGAAACATGCACGCGCTTCAGACAATGAAGCCAAGTAGGAGGCGGCGGGTGACGTTGAGCTGGACCAGTGTCCTCGCAAAAGGGAAGGGCTACAGAAAAGGTCATTCTAAGAAATTAAAAGCAGCAGCATTTGGTGCAATTGTTTTGGCTGATTCAGGCCTTTTTTCTCCCCCACCAGAGTAAGTGGATGATCTGCAAAGCATTCAGCAGCGCTGCTGGGAAATTAGCTCCCAACTGGTACCAACAGGGCTTCAGCGGGCTTACAGTTGTCTCTTGCCTGACTCTACAAATCAACACACCAAAAGGTCTTTTTTCTGACAGGCTTCGTGACCTGCACTGAACTAGAAACAAAAAATGTTTAACGGCCCCTTTCTTAATCTTTGCCTTTTTTTTTTTTTTTTAATGTCAGAAATTAAATGTTCACACAGTGTTGGCTCTCTTTCATGAAGGTGGTTTTTTGAAAAATGTCTTTGGTATCCTCTTATTCTCAACCCTAGAGGCGGAGAGAAGAGGAGGCGGACAGGAAGGGTGAGAGACCAGAGACTGATAAACACGAGCAACACGTGAAATGGGTCAGTGGAAGCTGATGCTCATAATCATTTTACCTCTTACAGTTAAAGCAAAGCACTTGAGTATTTTGGATATTTCTTCCCTAATGTATATAGTACAACTTGAAAAATGTTTAAAGGAAGTGAACAGAAGCCAAGAAGACACAAAAAATTCAAAGCTATATATCCTGGCCAGAAAACCAAAACCCAAAAACCCCACATCTCCAGTGAGCCAACCAACTGCCCTTTCTCTCCTGCCACACCTTCCCCTGAAATGAGAGATCCCAAGTATTACCTGGAGCATGGCTGGAAAAGCACAGAGAAAGGGGTATGGTGGGGGAGGAGACTGCGGTCAGAGAAGAGATCCTGGGATGTGCAGGTGACTCTAAGAGACAAGACAGTTTCCTTTATTATTAAGAAGAGAAAGGAATGCTGTTGAATAATTTTCCTGGTAACCGTCCCTGGGCTGGAAGAACTGGGGTGCAGGCCATGAGCCAGAGGGCTCACGTGAGTTCAAGTCCCTTAGGGACTAAAAGCATTTAGTTCCAGTAATATTTTAAGATACAAACTCAGAAATAAAGAATGTCTAGCAAACACAGCCGAGGGCAAGACAAGCTCTGGGAAGAGCAAAGAGGTTACAGTGTGGAAGGCAGGCTCCTTTTTTGTTGTTGTTTTTAAGGATGCACCCACTGGGCACAGAACAAAACCCAGGTGCTTGAGAATTTGATCCAAGGGGCTCTTTGCAGAGCAAGAAACAAGTTGTCTGTTTCTGGATAAAGCACTTTGGCGTCCATACGTTAGGAGCCGCAGGATGATTTGCTTCAGTCTTGCCAACACTGGCTACACCTTTGATTATCAGGGGAGGATCAGGCAGGAGTGGCGGAGGAGTCGCCACAGAAACAGTAGTAGGCTGCAAGCAGAGTCCCGTCGCAATTACAAGAGGCACACGACTGGGCTGGGCATGCTCGGTGGACCGCAGCAGGACCACAAAACAGAGGGCAAATCGAAGCTGCAGCGGCCAAGCGCAAGTATGTGCACGATGATCACGAGTAACAACGGCACACTGGGGCGTCAGGAGAGGGAAACTTGTCAGAGATAAGGGGATGATAACAGCGAGCCCCCCCCCCCCCCAAAAAGGTATGCACTGAGGCAGGAAGGAATGCAGGAGACTGCCATCTGGGATTCCCTTGATTTCCCGTATTGAACTGTATTTCGTGTTCTCTGCAGGCAGCAAAGAAAAACAAGGCCTGGTTTCAGTCCAGCAGCAGCAGCAGGAGGGGGAGGGGAAGCCAATGGTATGGTATCAGCTCTTAAGTCTTCCGAGTCAAACCCTGGGCCAAGGCCAAACCCCAAAATAACTCTATGAAAGCGACTCTTCTTACTTGTAACCAGGACATGGCACCATAGCAAACAAGAGGGGTAAACCAAACCCAGAGGGGAGGGGAATCAACAGAGAGACATTGAAAGCTGACCCAAAAAAGATTCCTACCACGTTTTTCAATATGGGTCTTGTTTCAGGAACAAAAGGGAACCAGCACCTCCATCCAGAACCCTCCTGGATCCCCAGCCAAGCTGAGAAAACCATGTTAGAGGACTCAGAAAGAACATTTTCTTTTAAGTGCTGAATTTTTACTTTTAGGGGACACTCCAAGTCAAAGTTCTACCTCTACAGGCCTGGAATCATGTTGCTAAAATGAGAGAGGCAGGAGAGAGAAATGAGGGCTCCAAAAGACCGAGCAGACGTGAGCTCCAGAATCTTCCCTTTCACACACCAAACATCTGGGTCAACTGACAGAACCACAGTGCATGGGAGGGTAGGGAAAAAAAGAGTCCTTCAATGGAGTTTTCTTTTTTAATTTAAGAAGTCGGGTAAGCAGGGAGACAAAACCATGTGAGACTCCTAAAACACGTCCTTGCCTCTAAGTCAAAGGACAAAGATGCCCAGACCTTTCCAGTTTTGCAGCCAAGAAAATGGCAGGGAAAGTCTTTGGGGCCCAGCTCAAAAGAAATAATTTCTGAAATGCAGAGAAGGACCAGATTCCATCCAATTTTGAAACATGCCAGAACCGGATGCCCGGCATGTATGAAGGGGGCTGTGGAGTGGGAGGCCATATACCCAGCAGTGCTGCACCAGGTAGACCACTGGGCACGGGTTGTAGCCAGGCATCATAGCTGACCTTGGAGGCAACGCAATGTGACAAACACCAGACTTTCTGCTCATCCATACTAAGGAAACACTATATGATGAGCAATCAGCCCCCACAGACAGAAGAAGGAACAAGCCAGCCAAGGCCAATGCCACCATGCCTTCTGGGTGATGGGGTAGCTCCTGCTTTGGGCGAGCAGAGAAAGAGCTGGAAATGATGGCAAAACTGATGGTGAATGTTATTAACTGGAATTACAGGTTTTCTGAGCATTTAGAAATGGGTTGTGGGGTTAAAGTTCATTTCAAATAGAAACAATGTGAGTTAAACGTGGTGATGTCCTAGACCAGCTCAAAAAGTTTCCAACTTCCGATATACCACACCTTGCGTAGGTTCCACTGCAGGGGGAACAAAGCTTCATGTTCAAGGGGCTCTGAGAAAATGTAATCAGAGTTCCCACTTGGGAATCCCACTTCTCTCTGCCAAAGAAGCTGTGTGGCTGGGCTCCCCACCAAGCACCAGGCTGCTGGTAGGGGCTCTAATGAGACAGAGACCCAGGAAGGAAGGTTCCTAAAGGGACCCAGTATGGGAGACCATTAGACAGTTAATTTGGGACCACAACACTCTGACTTCTGGACTAGAAGGTTTAAATGTTATTCTGTAGGTAATGACCACAGAAGGTTTTGAGCCAGTGATTAATAATGTAGAGCAAAGCCCCATTCCTTAAATCTTCCACAGTGATTTTTTTTTAAAGTGACAAAATGGGGAATTCCCTGGTGGTCCAGTGGTTAGGACTCCGAGCTTCCACTGCAGGGGACCCAGGTTTGATCCCTGGTTCGGAAACTAAGATCCCACAGCTGCGTGGCACGGCCAAAAAGTTAAAAAGAAAAAAAAAAGTGACAAAATGACAGTGATATTTGAAGACTGCTCTGCTAGAAACAGGCAGGACAGATTGGAGGAGAGAGAATGACAGCAAAGAGACAATTCCAAGGCTGCCTTAATCATTCAGGTGGGAGGGACAGAGAAAAATCAGGAATCAGATAGAAGGAGGCTGATCTGGACCGGTGGTCAATACACTTTTTCTGTAAAGGGCCACAAAAATATTTTAGGCTTTATGGGCCACCTGGTCTTTGTTGTGGCTACTCAACTCTGCCATTGTAGCATGAAAGCAGCCACAGTCAATACCCACACTATGGGATGTGCTTGTGTTCCGATAAAACTTTATTTACAAAACTAGCTGTGGGCCCATTTGGCCCAAAGGCCATAGTTTGCCCACCCCAAATCCAGATGAACTTTAAGGTCCCTCCATCCTTCAGAACCTGTCAGATAATAAACATCTAAAGAAAACCAGTAGCAGCAATAGAAAGGGAAGGATTTGGGTGACTGCTTTGATTTGAAAAGGCAAGGTATGGAAGAGGTCACAGCAATCTTCAGGTCTCAAGTCTGGGTAAATGGACTTGGATGGAGGGACCAGAAGAGAAATCCAGTCCTGGAAGAAAGATGGGGGAATTCAGTTTCAGATACACGTACTGAGTCCATAAACACAGAAGGTGGACATTGAGTCACTAAGTTAGAAACACTGGAGTTTGAGGAATTTCACTGTGATGAGTAAAATCTCCAGTGTCAGAGCACTGACATTTCTAGCCACCATTTTCCCTGCTCACCAAACAGGTCGACGGAGAATGTGCGTGGCCGCTGGGAGGCTCCCCTCCCTCGTGGCTGTCCCCCGGCCGCTCACCTGGTAGAGGAATCTTTGGCTGAAGTGCTGCATGGCGCCCTGGAGCTGGTTGCGCTGGGACTGCCACTGCTCATAGCTCCGCACGTACTCGGCCGTGGGGCGCTGCCAGGTGGTGGTCCGAGTGTTGTGGTCCACGTAGTAGAACCTGCCTCGGGGGTCTGTGCGTTTCTCCCAGCTGCAAACATCAAGCTCAGAATGAACACAGTGACCGCCTCACCCCTCCGCTCACATGCTAGAGAAATCTCAGGATGGCTGGCAAGGGGGAGGGCGAGGGAGGGTCTGGTGTGGGGTCTGGCACAGGAGTTCGGCTCCTCCGGGAAGGCACAGCCAGGTGAGCTCCAGTCACGGAGGCTTCTAGGGCTTAGATGCTCCTAGCAGACATCTGTGGTTGCCCCCACCAGCAACCCATCCCTCTTTACCAGCAGCTCCTGATTTCCATGTCAGAGATCCAAGTGGCTCTGGGGCACCTGACTGTACTCCCAACCCTGGAGTTGAAGTGTTCACTGGACCAGGAGTGGGCAAGTGACCTATGCTGAGCCCATCAGGATGAATCTCATGGCTTTTGCTAGTTATGGTGGGAAGACTATAGTCTCTCTTCTTTGCCAGATATGACTGAGAAAGTATGCAGTCCTGGGACTGGCTGACATCTTGGATCCAAACACAATATGAAGTTGACCCAGTAGATGGCAGAGCAGAAAAATGGGGAAAAAAAGCCAGTCTCTTGGGGTTACTGATGAGCCACTGGATCATGGTTCACTTGAAACCAGGATCTACATCTAGAATTTTTAGTTACATGAGGCAGTGAATTCTCTTCATTATTCAAGCCAATTTGGATCCCAATTTTTGTTCCTTGAAACTGAAATTATCCTGATATAAGGTGCCAGTGAAAATACATTGCATGACCACGAGAAGAAGAGTTGGTGCAAATGACAGCAGGACTCTCCACATTATCTTTTGTTGAGGAAGCAATCTTTCCAGAGTTGGCCCTAAAATGTCCATGGGCAAGGCAGGGCTAGAGCAGAGAGTAAAAATCCTCAGCTGTGCTTGGTAGGTGTAACTTGATTTCCACATACACATGGAAGAAGTGATCAAAAGAAAGTAAGAAAGGGAACTCTGCAGGGTGATAGAAATATTTTACATTTTGATGGAGTGTGAGTTACATAAGTGTATGCATTTGTCAAAGCTCAGTGAACTGTATAACTAAGATCTGTTTATCTCACTGTGTGTAAATTATATTTCAATTTTCAAAAATGAATTTGAATCTAATTAAGCCTCCATATCTAACGACCAGTTTACCAGGAAAGATAAGGAATAAAGGAACATGTAACACAACACCAGGAGTCACAATCAGCCACATCCAGAATGTGAGAAATTCTACAAGACAGATGCCCAGGATCTTCAACAAATAAACAGCCAGAAAAAAACAAGAAAGGGTGGCTGAACTTATAGATTAAGAGAGACTTATGAGATCAGCCAAAAGCAATGTGTTGATCTTGAGTTTGGATCTGATTCAAACAAATCAAGTGTGAAAACATTTTTAAGACAATTGGGGAAAACGCAACACAGACTGCGTATGACATAAGTAAGGAAATATTGTTAATAGTGTTGGGTGGGATAATGGTATTTTGGTTATGTTTAGAACAAAACACTCATCTGTTAGAGGTGTATGTGATGTATTTATGGATCCAAGGATATGATGACTGGGATTTGCTTTACAATTCATTGGTCCCCTCCCCTGAAAAGTGGGAAGATCAGATAAAACAAAATATTAACTGTTAGAACCAGGCAATGGTTACAAGGGATTCATTGCTATTCTCTCAAATTTGCTGTATGCCTGAATTTTCCATTATAAATTTGAAAGGAGAAGGGGGAGAAAAGGAGTTTTAAAAAAATAAGAGAGAGATACCACTGAAGAAAACGGGGTTAACCCAATGCAAAAGGAACCCAAAATGGATTACACTGTATGATTCCAAAGTGTTGGAGGGTCTTTGTTCCCTAACTACCTTGTCATATCATCTCTGAATTCTGATCTTATCCACATGACTATGGCGCTTTGGTCTGATACTTTCCTCAGCTTTCAGGGTTAGCCTCCTAGCTGACTTTTGTTGCCACCTCTTCAACAATTCTTTCAAACTCAAAGCCTCCCTAAAAATGGCTTCTCCTCAAGTAGTTCCCAGTCCCTGTTCACAGACTGCGTCTGAATTCCGCTTGCTGGACTGCCTTGCCGTCCTGACCTGCTGTCACTTTGGATTCCACTAAACGCCATCCCTCTCGCCCCAAACCTGAGCCTTTTCCCGTCCTCCCTGCATCAGTCCTCCTCCCAGGGATAAAACAACACCATCATTCCCGACTCTTCCTTTCCTACAGATGTCAGTAAGCCACTCAGCCCGAGGGCTTCTTTTTATTTCGTCTCCCTGCCCTGGACTTTCCATTTCTACGTCCAACTGTCTCTGAACTAATCTCCTTATCCAATCCAGCCAATAAACCGCCATCAGGGTAACCCCAGCAGACTGACTCCTTATGTCAGGCTCAAGTCAAAACCTTGAATCAGTATTCAAGGCTCACAATAATCTGGAACCTTCCCACCTTTCTCATAAATTCTCCCAACCAGTGATTTTTATTTATTTTTATTTGTTAGCAAAGGAATCATATATCTATGGTTTGAAGCACAAACAGTACTACAGGAGATACAATGAAAAGCAGTCTCCCGCCCTCCTTCTCCCCACTGCTGATTTCTGCTCCCCAGAGGCAACAACTACTTTCAGCTCTTGACTGCTTCTTCTATTGACAGTCGTACTTCTAAATAAATGCTTACTCCATAATTTCTTGAGTTCTGCCAAATTAGATATGACTTATGGACTTTCCACTAGCAAAGCTGAGGATTTAGTTCTTGTACTCCACCCCCCAACACACACAATGCTCTCTCCTCCCCCATCCTCCCAATCTAGAAAACCATCATTAACTCAATATTCAGAGTTTGGATTATGACTTTGTAGAATACTATACATACATTTGCTTACTTGTACACTTTTTTTCTTTTTCTCTAGAGTTAAGAACTGCGTGTTTTATTCTGCTTGGTTTTCAAGGACCTATCACAAATTCACCCCCAGGTTCTGACAGGGCTGGTGGCCTCCCAGGATTACTTAACTCTGGACCTCATTTCTCCAGGCACCCTTTGTCCAGTGTGGACAGCTGTCCTCCAGGCCTGCCTGCTCTACATTCCTGCCCTGAGTCATCTTCCCTCACCCTCCTCTTGGCCCCTAAATGGAGTCTCCTGTGTCCTGCATCTCAGGGCTTCTTTCTCTGTTTCCTCTTGTCTGGTAGAAGAAATCATCTAAGAGTTTCTGAGAAAGGATGCACCAAAGTTAATTTTTTGAAACCCTGCATGTCCAAAGATACCTTTATATCAACCCTCACACCTGAGTGTTAAAAGGTCTAAAAGTTGATTTCTGGATTCACTCAGCTGTTTCACTAGAAGATCCCCAAATATCACAATCTATAGTTTTCTTCCCTTAGACTGGTCACTTTCCCCAGCAAAAAAAACCTTCCAGTCTTTACCCTGGAGACAGCATCCTCACTTAATCCTTTTTTCCTGAGTTCATCTCTGCCTTCGGCTATGGCTGTGTTCTCCACACTGGTTCTACTCTCCCAGGAACTTCTTACGCTAGCAGTACTCACGTGCGTGTATGTGAACATGTGTGTGTGTGCATGTCTGTGTGTGCACACATACACATGGCAGAGGGTTGGGAGCGATGGGTGACAACTAGAAATCTAGCTGCTCCCTGCACAAATTTTAAACTTCCAAGTTTTTTGTCTCATTACACATACACATACACATTCACACACACACCTCATATGTTTCTGATTGCTGAGGATTTCCAGGGCTCCATGGTGCAAATTGGCTGCCTTCCGGGTGGAAACCCCACACCGGAAGCTTGGGTTTCAGCTTTCGCAACTCTGCCATTTATCCATCAGCAACTAAACTCTGATTACAATCTCCCATATGCTTTTTCTCCTCTCCCATTCCTTTATCATTATACATTTTTATAACCTTTATTGCTATTTTAGTGGGTTTTCAGGAAGGAATGGAAATAAACACATGTTCGATCCATATGTTTAACTAGAAGTCCTCTGCACTGGTGAATTTCAAACTTCTAAGCAGCATAATCACACCCTTGGTTGCAGGTAAAATCTTACGCAGAATCACAATCTACAAAAACAGAGCAGTGGTTGGAGGCCAGGTCAGCCCTTTCATGTTGTTTGGTTCCAGGAGGCATCTGCACCAAACCCAGGGGCCTTGCTGTACACACTTGGAGCATCTTTGTTTCACACAAACCCTCCACTCCAGGAAAACTACTCCATGCATCATTCCCTAAACACAGCTTCTACATTCACACTGTTCTCCCAACCTGGATCACCTTCCTCTTCTCACTGAAGTCCACCCCTCAGCCTTTCCTAAAGACCAAGTCTAAGCCCCCTGTGAGGCCTCCCCAATACCATGCTCTATGGTGATCACTCTCCCTGCTCACCTCAAGTTTGAGAGCCACCTAAGAATGACTAAACAGCAAATTACTGCATTCATCCTTAACTACCAGGTCCAATACTTTTTTCTCCTGGATAAAACGACTGGTCTTCATACAAGTGTCCCATGGATGGGACAGGAGGGGATGGCCATGATAAACTGAATCCTTTGGTTCAATCTTGCTCCTGGATGTCTACGCCTGCTGATATAATGGCTCCATCTATAGTTTCAAGGTTGCTTTCACCGTGGTAATACTTCCCCAGGGCCGAACTTCTCCCATTAATTAGCAATGAAAGCTTGAGCATTCTGTTCTCTCTGGGTTCCCTATTACATAGCAGAACTAAGTGCCAGGGGCTTTAAGGTCTGGGCCTAAAACTCAGGAAGAACTCGTAGGCTATAGGGGGTGCAGAGCTGAGCTATCTCACAATAAAACATTAAAACTATCCTGAAAATAAGAAAGCTGGGTCTAGTATTCCACCTCAATATTTAAAGAAGAGTAAATCCTCAGCCATTCTTAGAAGATACCATTAAATATCTTCATTTAGATTCCATTCAAACGTTCACCAGGTCAAGGTCTAAATAACTTATAGACCAGAGAGGTTAAGAGGCAAGCAACCAGCACACTTACAGAGTTACCACCACTTTAAAATATA